CAAGTCTGGACTCGGTGGTGTTGCAGGTTTAGGTGCGACATACTTGTAGGGGTTACTCTGAAAGAATTGTGAATTCAAATTTTACCGAAATGAGCGATTACTGGTTTGCAAAAAGGAATTTTCGCAACTTAATTGCACTGCCAAAAATGTAGTGACTTATCATTCAGAATGATCTCAAACACCGCTCCTACCAAATAGCATACAGACATGACCAAAGAAAAATCAGAATCACAAGTTTGAAGTACCACCAGATAGATAAGGATGTGATGCTAACATGAGGTGTGAGTTGGAAGTTACAAATGACAAATAAACGATATTTCTGAGCTTGAGCTTTTCTGCGATGTGCCTGCTAGCTGATATTCAAACGTTTATAAACGAATCTATGTCTGGATGCTAAACTCTCAAAGCGGCTTGGATGAGGTCTAAAAGTTGTCGATGGGAGCGGCAAACGAGAAATTCAGTTTAACAACATTTTAAAAAATGCACGAATGTCTCACCCCAGGCGGAAGTTGATACTGGAAGGCTGGATATCCTCCTCGCCCTCGAAATCCACCACCAACCGCGAATCCTAAAAATAGAGATATAAGATTCAATGATTAATTCAAAATAAGCAGTGTGAGACCCAAAACACACATAGGAGAAAAGGATCTATGCGGAAAACTTGTTAAGATTGCCGTAAATGAAGGTGGGATGGGATGTAACACAGTCCCCACCGATGCAAACTTTTGCCAGCATGCGATCGTAAGGTTTGGTAACTAACGGCTCATTTTTATGTTGTAAGTGATACAGTATGATATATAATTTACCATTACTAAGATAAAATAACAATGATAATGGAAAAGAAATGTGAGAAAAACCTTGTCCTCGTCCATAGGATGATGGTGGCTGAGGCTGCATCGCGTAGGGATACCCGTATCCGCCGTTTAAGTTGGCATTGGCAAAGCCTATAACGGCGATTTTCAGATTTAATATGAGCAAGCATGTCCAAAATAGGCAGTGCTTGTGGCAATCAACACGAGCTATTCATAACATTGCACTTTTTGCATCTAAATGCACATATATGTACATTATGATAGAATGAACTATATGCTGTACAAACCAATAAATAGCGAGAGTGTATTAAAACTTGACCGTAAGCTTCCCATTTGATCACAACAAGAAGGAAGAGCAGAAACTTTGAAAGCCAATAAAAACTCACCAGCCATTGACGTGCCAAAGGTGTGTTGTGGTGGTGGCGCTCCATTAAAGCTTGAAACCGGTCCCTTATACCCTGAACATGGATAGAATGCACACTATAGAGAATGCTTCATAACAACATGTAATACGAGTTCTCAAACTACTCTATCTTTCTATTCGAAAAGCATGTTTTTAAGGCGGGTAGACAACGGTTGCTAATTGTCTACTAATTATACCGATATGGAGATTAGAGATAAGTTGCAACAGCGTCCTTAGAAAGAGCTCAAGCGCTGTTCAATTAAAAATAGCTACGCTTCGATAAATGTGCAATAGTTGTTACAATTGAAATTGTTGCAAAATTTGGTTTTTTATTTGATACAGGCTGAAGTAGGAAACGGCATAGAGAGATCGTCAGAGGAAGAGCACAATTTAAAG